TTCTTTTCTCTGTCCTACGTGGGCCAGAGGGCAGAGGAACTAACTGGGATGAGGACAGAGTTTCCGTGTGTCAGAGGGCAGCTGTGCATTTCAGGTGTGCTGTCAGGAATTGGACAGGGATGTCTCCCAGAGGCAGGGCATTTGAATCTCAGGTATCCTTTATTGTAGAATACAATGGAGTTTATGTTGCTGAGGTAGCCAGGGAAGGGTCTGTAGCCCTCTGTACATTGTCTGTATGCAACTCTAAGCATACTGTTGGACAAAGACAAATCCTTAGCTGACTAGGATTTGACCACTGCTGTCTTTCAAGCCCTTTTGATGCAGCCTGTGGACTCTGCTGTGTGCAGATTGAGGAAGGCCTCCGTCAAACCTGTGCCTACATGCTCCTTTGCCTCTGTTCTTCTAAAAGCCGGGAAGAGTACCCTGTCCTCTTGCATTGTGCTCATGGTTCCCTGTCCATGTCCTGTCCAGAGCTGTGGTTTGAGGGGCTGCACTCAGGGCTGTGACATGGGATACAGCAGAATTAAGTCTGTCGCTAGGTGAAGGCAGGCAGAGGTGTGTATTTCAGGTGTGAGGTGAGAGATGCAAAGGCACTGTGGGGTTAGTGTTCAGGAATCCATGCTGTGCATGTGTCGTCTGAGTGCTGTCATGTACCATCTGTGACATAGACATATGCAGAAATTGATTCCTGGTTCTCACCTGAGCACTTTGCTGATCTCAATGGGGTATCTTGACTTGCACCAGCTATATGCACCTCTGGTGCAGGAGCATCTTACCTGTCTAGAGAGAGACATAGAAATGGGGTTGCTGATTAATCGCTTGGCTGTGACTCTGAACTCGGGTCCTGTTCACAGAGATCTAGGAGATTCTTCATGTCAAGTGGGTATGGTAGTGGCAGTGGCCAGATGGGAGAAAATACGGGAGAGAGATCCAGGGTCCTCTGTGGCTGCCTCTTGAAAGAGGAGACATCCATTGTCTAGGTGGCTAAGGCTGCTAGAAGTAGCAAGTGCTTCCCTTGCGTGTGAAAATGTTTTGTGCCCAGACCAGAGAGGCATTGGCACTGCCAGCATGGTGGAAACTAGTCTCTCTATACAGAGGATTTTTCTGGGGTGCTGTAATTTCAGCGGGAAAGTAAGTGATGGAGGGGCCAGAATAGAGCAGCTTCTAGAGTTAAACTTCTAGTGAGCAAAACCCGTGAAGCATGAGACCAGACCTAATGTTGTCCTTTGCCCCCTGGGTCCTGTTCCCAAAGCGCAGAGTAACTGAAAATTACCCCACAGTGTTTGAAGGGTGAAAAATAGTAACAAATGCAAAGAAAACCCAAATAATACCCCAAAGAAGTCATGATGGCAGAAGGAGTTTACTAATTTTTCCTTAATAGTCACTCTCTGTGATAGGATAATTGATGCTAAGGAAGGTTTCCAGAGATGGTGTGTTGGCCAGAATGATAGGAAGGAGTCATAGGAGGGGTTAGCTTATCAATTTCCAGATAAAAAACTGGTTGAGCTGATGTTCCTCATAGTCTTTCTTGTAGAATTAGAATTGGGCTCTATAAGGGAGGGTATATTCTCATTTCTCCTGCTGCTTCATCAGGCCACTGCTGTTCTCCGGTGCTAACTCCTGCTCATGGCAGCTAGTGGAATGAAAGGCACTTACTTTTCACCTTCTTGCCTGCATGAGGCCTTGTTGTCTGCATTGCTTCCAACCCAAACAAGAGGCTAGGTGGAGAGCTGAGGGCCTGTGTCATTCCGCATGCATTGCTTAGTCTTGTTTTTCTGTGTATGTGTGTGTGCATGGTGTGAGAGGGTGCAGACAAGACACTGTGCTCATCTGTGAGGAAACCACTGATTCTGCTCCTAAATTTACCCCTCCACACAATGGAGTATCCCCTCCACTCCATTTGGGTGATCTTGGGGGAATAGAATTCATCGACTCATTCGTGGGGTCGAGATTCTCAGATTTGCCCCAGCTGCACAGCACTTCACCCCACCAGTGACGTCATGCCATGCCTTAACACCATGTGCTCTTAAACACGTTATCCACCACCTTTCCTTCCCTTCCCTGTCATATTTGCACCCCCATCACAAACATTAACCCCTGTTCTCTCTTTTTTTTTCCTTCCCTCTCGTCTTTGACAGATGTGAAAAACCGAGACGGTGAGCAGCGGAAAAGAAGGGGGAACAGCCCTGTTTCTGGAGCCTGATTTCTCTCCTGGACAGAAAAAAACAAAACAAAACACTAATCCAAATGAACCCTAAAAATGAAGGATCGGTAGAGCACAGCACTTTCAGTACGGACGATGGACTCCGGAAGGAACATTCCCCAAAGCACCCGCCGCACAGAATTCACCTTTGGGTTTTGAACTGTTTTATTTTATTTTTCTTTTCATGCTGCTAAATAACAGAGCCAGGAAGACTATAGGGGTGTATTTGTTGGGTTTTCCCAAGCATACATATATATGTGTGTATACATGCATATACATATATATATATGT